TGTGCAACAAAATTGTGAGGCTTGGCAAGTCTGCAATACTTTAGCAAGTCATTTTCAAACTTGCAGCTCAATTGCTTGCTATCTGGGTGACTGATGGGAGTTTCAATACAGTGAAGACAAACTTGTAGATGCTGTGATAACCCCTCAAGGCTCTCCATGGCTGATGGGGCTTTCACTAGTGAGGACAAACCTGTAGATACCATAATACCCTCAGGGCTTTGCAAGGTTGATGGGACTTTCAATAGTGAAGACAAACCTGTAGATATTACGATTCCTTTCAGGGCTCTACCAGGCTGATGGGTCTTTCACTGGTGGATAAAACCTGTAGATACTGCAGTATCTCTCAGAAATCAAACATTATGGAGGTTCCTCTTTAAAGAGAGTGACAGATTAAACTTTGATTCAGATGCTTGCCATCTAGTACAGACAGGGTTCTGTGGATCTCTAGGGTTCCCCGGAGGTTGCTACAGGGTTCCTTGAGTTGTGGCTGACTGATCTCCCATCTGATGGTGCCACCATAGACCCGGGGTCAACACCCCAAGCACACAATGACTCCCAGGATCCTTTTAGCTGCCTGTAAGGGTAACATTTTGACCACCACTGTAAGATGGGAATTCTTCACAATGGCCACCAATGAAAGGTGCATTTTTCCCAATGACCATCAATCAAATTGGTTTTAGCAGAGGTTCCCCCGAGACCTGAAAATTATTTCAAGGATTCCTCTGAGGTAAAAAGGTTGAGAAAGGCTGATCTGGTATTTAGGAAGCAGGAAAAATGTAGATCACTTTATAGCTGACAATCTAAGGTCTTAAGGGTCTATTTATCAATGTTTTCACCCAAAAGCCACAAAACTTTCACCCAAGGGGCACACATTTTTTTTAATTGAATCTTTAATACAAGTAAATCTTGGGTGAACGTTAGGTGAATCTTGGGTGGTAGCATTGATAAATAGGCTCTTTAGATTCCAAAGCTTAAGGGTCACAAAACACATTAGAGCTGCAGCTAACGATTATTTTCAAAATCGATTAGTTAGCCGATTATTAAGTTCGATTAATCGGTTAATCGGATAAACAATAAAAAAAAATTAAAAATGGCTCCAGTGATGGACTACTAGTTTGTATTGAGATTGTAGTCCATCACAGGAGCAAGCTTGGAGCGGTGGAAAAAAATAGTGTGGTGTGCAATATAGTGAAAAGGAAAGTGTAAAATTATACAGCAATGAATGCAGAATGGCACCGGCTATAGAGGACTACAAAGCCCAGCAATAGTACATTATACAGCACAATGCAGAATACCATCAACTATAGAGGACTACAACAAATCCCAGCAATAGTACATTATAGCTGGTGGTATTCTTAGGCGGTGAGTGTGAGGCGGGGAGGAGGTGCGGCGTGAAGAGCGTGGATGTGGGCGGGTCTGGCAGCGGCGAGCGTGAGGTGGGGGAAGAGGTGCGGCGCGCAGCGTGTGTGGAGCCGTGAACAGGGCCAACTGATCGGAAACGATTAATCGATTATTGAAAAAGTTGACAACTTTTTCAATAATCGATTATAATCGATTATGTCGATTAGTTGTTGCAGCCCTAAAACACATGACAATCTGACCATACAATCCTTACCAAAAATGTACCCAAACTGTCTAATATTAGGTCATATCTATGTATCCGGACTTCAAAATCTTAACCCGACCAATCTAATGGTACCAACAACTCAACTATTGTATATACATAGAAAATACTTTATTCAATGGGATTTTAATAAATATATTCAATGATATTCACTGGGAGGTGCCAATGAATATTGGAGATGCACCGATACTGTTTTTTCGGTATTAAGTATGAGTACCAGATATTTATCTTACGTTACTCGCCGATACCGAGTACTGATACCGGTACTTCCGCAAGCATGGAGACGGCTTCCCGGGCAGCGGGATTGGAGACAAGAGAGTAGAGCTGCTCAATGTGTTTAAACTGCTCCAATCAGCATAGAGCCGGCTTCCCGGCCAATCAGGAAGTCAGGAGGCAGGTCATTACCCGCTGCTCAGCTTCTTGATTGGCCAGGAAGCCGGCTCCATGCAGTTTGGCCAGCTGCTGCAATTGATGACTTTAATGGGCTTCCTTAAAGTGTATTTCCACTTTTGCAGCCAAATTGGGATGACACGCACTTTATATTTGTTACGGGTTTCCATTCGCACCCATTACCTTTTTAAAGGTTTTTGGTTGCAGTTAAAAAAAACAACTCCCTTTGCAGTGGGGCTTCCCTTGCACTGAAAGAGTTAACTGTTTATTAATGTCTAGGGCAGGGGAGGGCAACTCCAGCTGTGCTTTAACTACAAATCCCAAGTTGTTTGGAGGCCCGCTTACATCATCACATGCAGCTCAGGGCCTTAGCTCTGCATTATATGTGAGGATGCCGAGGGACAGTTCACATGCTGTAGTGGAGGGGAGATGAAGAAAGCACCGACCGTCAGGGGAGAGGGGATCAGGCAAGTGAAATTCTTTACACCATATATTTAGGGCCCATTCACACATACTGGGGTGACCTGCGTTTTACCGCAACGGATCAATGCAGGTCATCGGATGTATAGAAAACAATTGTTTTCTATGTGCCACATTCACACCACAATGCAGGTATGACGGGTGGTGCATTGTGCTACGGCAAAATGCAGACATGTTCCATTTTTCTGCAGCACACCGAATGCCACCGCAGGTCACCGCACCGCAGCACACAGCATTACAGTGCGGGGGGGCTGAATGGAGTGTACAGATTGTACGCTACTAATAAAGATAAAAAAAGGAAAAGAGCAAACAGTGACAACTCCAGCTGTGTTTGTTGCACCCCCACAACGCACTAGCTCATCTATTAAAACGCAGCATTTTAGCGGACGCTCCAGTGCAGCGGTGAGCAAACTCCGTCCCTCCAGCTGTGGTGAATCTACAAATGTCTCTGGGAGTCATGCCTGTTAGAATCTTGTAATGTCTCATGGGATTTGTAGTTCCACAACAGCTGGAGGGTTGGAGTTTGCTCGCCCCTGCTCTACTGTGAATGAGCTCAGGCATTACCAAGCAGGTCATTCTTGCAGTGTGAGGGTAGCCCCACTAGGGGCGTTCTTTTTTTATTTTTTATTCCGGAGATAGGCATTAAAGCAGAATCACCAGGGGTGGGCGACTCCAGCCATCCTGCTGTTATGGAACTACAAGTCCCATGAGGCATTGCAAGACTGACAGTTAGAGGCATGACTCCCAAAGGCAGAGGCGTGTTGGAATTTGTAGTTAAAGCACATCTGGAGGGCTAGAGTTGCCTACCTGCCCTAGCCCAAAATCAACAGTTAACTCTTGTGGTGCGGGGATAGTCCCACTCACTGGCTTCACTAGGGGGGTGCAGAGGGTGCGGCCCGCACCCGGGTTTCACCATTGGAGGGGTGACACCAAAATTACTGACAGTCATTTTGGTGTGACCCCCTTCTGAAAAGATGGCCACTCGGTCATGGGCTGAGAGCCCGACAGTTTCAGGAGAGAGGAGGGGACCCGGCGGCATACCTCATCACGCCGGGTGAACGTCCCCTCCTCTCTCTGCCGGCGTCCATAACCAAAATGTCCGCTGGCAGGTTTCAACGAGTGATGTCATTGTGATGACATCGCTCGTGCGCAATGACGACATGCGCATGCATGATGACGCTCTGACGGGGTGTCACCCGGTACCCGATCCGGGTGACACACCACCTCGGCACGCCCCTGGTCCCACTGCATTGTAATTTACCCGGAGTTCTTCTTAAAATCAATAAGCTTCTGACGCAACAAAATGTCCAAAAAATTGGGCAGGCCACAATGTTTTGCTAGAGCGTTGCCAGGCTTTGCAGCCCATGTGAGCTGCCTTGGGGTGCTATCTATTCCAAATGAATGTCACCGAAATCCTGCACATTGGGGTAATTACCGCGTGCGTCCCCACAGCGCATTAGATGTAAATGGGCCCTTGTTGTTTACATTGTGAAGGCCTAGGTCGGAGCCCGTTGTAAAGTGTTTTTTCTCTCCGTCTCTTCTGTATTTCAGGCTGACTACCTGCGTGATGTGAACCAAAAGGGAGATGCTTTATTTTGCTGGCTTCTCCATGGAGACCTATTACCGTGCCCTGCAGTTATTAACAACGTGCTTCCTGCGCGGGGAGGCTGGATACAAGTCGCCATGAGGAGAGCGCCTCCGTCTACAAAGTGATGGCTCCCAGCTACTTCCACTCCGCACCCCTCGCAGCTCCGACAAGGCCAAACCTCCGCGTACTTCGCACAAACACCATGATACTATTGACTGTCGTTAAATGAATCGGCCGCCTCTTGTGGTACCATCTCTGCAACGTAAAGAGAATCAACACTTCGAATTAAAACAAAAATACTATTTTTTATATATTTACTGTACTTTTTGGCAAACGTTAAATGGAGCCGGCCAGCGTCTGATATACGATGCCTAAAAATCACAATGGATTAGACGGGAGAGCGTTCTTGTTCTTTCGAGTGCTGGTATTCGCTGGAGTTTGGCAAGCGTTCCCTTCTTCTAGGACAAAATACCTCGAGTGATTTTTGTTTTTTGGCTGCGTTTCCTCCAAGTACTGTAGCGGCATTGCTTGAAATCTACAACCGATGGGCCCGAGGCCTCTGCCGGATTAAAACCTGCTTCTTTGCGGTTGGGCGTCTGCCGCAATTTTTATTTATTTATTTTTTCTTTTATCAACTTTTGCTCATCTTGGATATTTATTGCTTCAGATCTACAATGTTATGTTTGGAGTGGACAAAAACGGCGCTGCCGGGCGCAATCTAACCGGACAGCTTCTGCGCAACTTTGAGCGGATGGTGTTTTGCGCTGAGGCACAGACACAAGAGCTGGCACTTTAATGAATGGCATGGCTGGGCCATGGCTAGGTGGCATGTGAAGCAGCCAGTGGTCAAACGTTTCGTCAAGTCCTACTGGCCCCTGAGCGGCTGCAGCAGGTGGAGGAGCCGGCACCAGTCAGCGGGCAACGAATGCGGCGGAGGCGCCGGCGGAGGAGGAGGAGAAGAAGACGGAGGCACCTTTCCCTCGGAGCTGGCTCCGTGCGGCTCTGAGGAGATGATGCTGAGGGAAGAGGAGGAAGATGAGGAGGAGGACGAGCAGAAAAAGTTTTACTTGTGTGAGGAGGAGAGGAACAGCCGAGACAGGAGGAGCCCGGTGGATGGCAGCGGGGGCGCAGGGGGCTACCACCCGGTCTACAGCGAGTTTGAATGCTGCGAGCGGGTGGTGATCAACGTGTCCGGGCTGCGCTTTGAGACCCAGCTGAAGACCCTTTCGCAGTTCCCGGAGACGTTGCTGGGGGATGGCGAGAAGCGGATGCGCTACTTCGACCCGCTGCGCAACGAGTACTTCTTCGACCGCAACCGACCCAGCTTCGACGCCATCCTCTACTACTACCAGTCGGGCGGGCGGCTAAAGAGGCCGGTCAACGTGCCCTTCGACATCTTCTCCGAGGAAGTGAAGTTCTACGAGCTGGGCGAGGAGGCTCTGCTCAAGTACCGGGAGGACGAAGGCTTCGTCAAGGAGGAGGAGAAGCGGCTGCCCGACAACGAGTTCAAGCGCCAGGTGTGGCTGCTCTTCGAGTACCCGGAGAGCTCCGGGCCGGCCCGGGGGATCGCCATTGTGTCGGTGCTGGTCATCCTCATCTCCATCGTCATCTTCTGCCTGGAGACCCTGCCCGAGTTCCGAGATGACAAGGACAGCCTGCTGCCCCCGCTGGGCACGGGGGAGGATGGGTTTGGGGGGGACAATGGGACCCTGGGGGCCCCCGAGATCAGCCAGACTGCCTTCAACGATCCCTTCTTCATAGTGGAGTCTGTGTGCATCGTGTGGTTCTCTTTTGAGTTTGCCGTGAGGCTTTTTGCCTGCCCCAGCAAGCCTGGCTTCTTCAGGGACATCATGAACATCATTGACATTGTGTCCATCCTGCCTTACTTCATCACCTTGGGGACCGAGCTGGGCAATCAGCAGCCCCCTCCCCAGCAGTTTCAACAGCAGCAGCAGCCCCCATTGCAGGGGACAGGGCAGCAGCAGCAGGCAATGTCCTTTGCCATTCTGAGAATCATCCGCCTGGTTAGGGTCTTCCGCATCTTCAAGCTTTCCAGACACTCTAAGGGGTTGCAGATTTTGGGGCACACCTTGAGAGCCAGCATGAGGGAACTGGGGCTTCTAATATTCTTCCTTTTCATCGGGGTCATCCTCTTCTCCAGTGCTGTGTACTTCGCAGAGGCGGATGAGCCCACCACACACTTCCACAGCATCCCCGATGCCTTCTGGTGGGCGGTGGTGACAATGACTACAGTAGGCTACGGGGATATGAAACCTATTACTGTTGGGGGCAAGATAGTGGGTTCCCTGTGTGCCATAGCAGGGGTTTTGACTATTGCACTCCCCGTGCCCGTTATAGTTTCCAACTTCAACTATTTCTACCACAGGGAAACCGAGAACGACGAGCAGACGCAGGTGACCTCAAACGGTTCCAGCTGCCCGTACTTGCCCACCAACCTCCTCAAGAAGTTAAAGAGTTCTACATCTTCCTCTCTGCAGGACAAGTCGGAATATCTAGAGATGGAGGAAGGGCTCAAAGAGTCTTTATGTGTTAGAGACAAATCTAACCAGAGCACGGGGAACGGGAACGAGACCATTAAGTATAACTGTGTGAATTCAAAGACTCTGGAAACTGATGTGTGAGACTTTGTTTTTTTGAAACTTTCTTAAAGTTTATGCATTGACGAGTGCAGTGATATAAAAACGAAATATGCAAATCTAATCAGAAAATAGGTTTCTGATTAGATATGAAATATAGTGGCTTCCTCTTGTAAGAACATCCAACCTCGGGACCAGACGCAAACAGAACGATTCTGATACAGGAATTATAGTGCCTATTCTTTGGCTTTGTTTTTTAAAGCAACCCACATAAAACACGTGCATTAGGTTTACACGCAGTGTTGTAAAGCCTTGATGATTACAAATAATCAGCATTTCATACAATACACAGCGGATCTTTTATGCCTTTTGACTGCTGGGCATTTTTATTCTTTTAGGAGAAAGAAAAATACGCTAAATACCATTTATTTTTGTGTACGACTGCAGTGGATTAAAGGTGCCCAGTCAACATTAAGGTTTACTTTTTTTTTTGTCTGTCCAGATATCATTATTATTATGTGTCATTTTTTTTTCCCGTTCCATTTTTAACTCTCCAAATTCCACATGACAAAGGAATTTAGTATAACATGTATTTCACGGTGGATTATGGTAACTTCACTTGTGGTATAACACTCTCTCCGGTGGTCATACCATAACGTGACTGAATGTTCTTAGAAGAGGAATTTACCAACAGTGTAAACTAAATTCTTATATGTGGAGTCCACTGTAACTGTTCTTTTCATCATGCTTAACATATCAAAGGAAAATGGTAGACTAAAGGGTATTAAAGTTTAAATATATATACATATATAAATATATTTTTTAATAGATTGCAATTGTTTTGCACAGATAAGAACTAAGGGGCTGTTTTTAACTTGATGTGATAATCAAAAGTAACACAAAAGCTTTCACAAATATAAAATATAAGGTACTCTCTCTATTTTTAGTAGCCATTGCTGCATTGATGGTTAATACTACGTTTGACACGAGCCAAGGAAAATACACAATCGGAATGCTTTTTTGACAGCTCCGTATTTGGTTTTTTTTCTCCGGCTCAGTAAAGCTAATCTTAACAGAGTTGAATTCACTATGTTATGTTAAAGTGACACTAAACTCAGAATTTAAAGCTTAGAAATGCATTCAAGTACCTTAAGGGTTAACAAAATGTATCTTATTTGTGTATCACTCGGCTGCAGATCCTCAAATCATCTCTGAATTGGTGCTGACACTGTCCTTCCTTCTGGAGGGTGGCTACTTTTGTTCCCCATGGTCCCTGTGTGTGTTGTAAAGTAGCCACCGCTCCAAGCTCACTCCTGTGATGGACTACAATCTCATGTTTAGTTTACTAATTTGTATTGAAGTTGGGATATCCAGATACCAAATACCATACTCAGTACAAGTACCAATACTTTTCCAGCTCCAAAACTAGACTAGAGAAAAACTCAAAAGTTAGGAGCCAGCTGTCATTGTTAAGGAGCATACGGAGCTCCTGGGATTGGTGCATCCCTGTTTTAATGTATGATTTCCTTTTTTATAAATAAGGGATTAATCAATACCATTTTTTCAAGTAAAATACTGATATTTGTCCAAATACTCACAGATATAAGTACTGATGCATTTTTGTTTTTTGTCATGTGACAGTTTTTCTAAAGCAATACAGACTAGTGATTTCAGGACAGTGGAGGAGCGCCAGAGCCAGGTCCCAGCTGCAACCGCTGGTAGTTCTCGTAAAAATCCCTAGTATCGGCACTGGTATCTGAACATCTTTATATTGAAGTTATAGTCTATTATGGGAGTGAGCTTGGAGCGGTGACTACTTTAGAACACACACAGGGACCATGGGGAACAAAAGTAGCCACCCTCCTGAAGGACGGTGTCAGCACCAATTCAGAGATGATTTGGGGATCTATAGCCGAGTCATACACAAATAAGATACAGTGGTACCTCGATTCACAAACGCTTCTGTTCGCGAACAATTCGGTTCGCGAACAGGAAGTTTGTCAAAATTTTGCTTTCGTTCACGAACTCCGCATCGGGTGATGAACAGAACCGCAGCCATCTTTCCTGCTCTGACACGTGGTCGTGGCTTCCTCTAGTCGAGATCTCGGTCCGATCACAGTTTGATTCGGTTTGCGACCAGAATCGTGGAACAAATTAAATTCGTGAACTGAGTTACCACTGTACATTTTTGTTAATAGTTAAGGTACTTTAATGCATTTTTAAGCTTTAACTCCTCAGTTTAGTGTCCCTTTAAAAAAAAAAAAATCCTGCCTATTCATTCATTCGATGATGGCTTCTACAAATAATTCATTACAAATTGCAATCTGTAAGGGCTGCCAATCCACAATAACCGCTGCTAATAGAGCATTTGCTAGGCGATACTAAGAAGTTGCTTCTACATCTGCATGTTGAACAGTGATAGGGAATGCTTTTTTTGCACTACAATCTGGATAAATAGTATCTAAAGAGACTTCATACTGTGAACCATTTTGTGTAACTATAAACTTCACGGACAATCGTTAACGATATGATCTCCGTAGCACCCTTTGAAATCATATGTGTTGCAGAGTGTGGATGCTGCTTAAAATTTAAGACAGCTATATTCAGCAACATGTGTGTACAGCACCCCCTCGGTTCTCCTGAACCGAAGGGGTCCTGGGGCCGAAGCTAGCCGAAGGATCGGCCGAAGCTACGGCCAGATCCTTCGGCAGCTTTGTGAATAGACCCCTATGTATTTATTACAGAGGAGAGCTTCATGTATGGGTTACTTATGCAAGATGAACGTAATCCTACTATTTTAATGATTGATTATCTATCTCTATATATTAGATATATATTTATTTTTCTGCCACATTATTGCTGCATTGTGAATGGGCCTTAATATATAAAATACATACCAAAGCCCAAACAACTTTTCCTGCAGTCTATTAGTAAACACAAAAAGGATATTGCTGACAGATCTCTTATATCGGAAACAAACTGTCAATATGTCCTTTGTGGAAAGGATAAACACGAGCATGTGCCTACCATTCTGTCTAGTTCTGGTTTACAGTTGGCGTAGTTTTTAAAGGAGAACTATGGGGTTAAGTCTTTTCCCCATAGTTCTCCTTAGGGTAATGGGAGGACACAAACTAGCGTCCTCCCATCACCCTAGGCTCAGTATACCGCGAGCTGTAGCTCACGGTATACTGAGACGCCGCAGCTGAAGCGGATCCCGACAATTATGTCTGGATCCGCCCAGCTTCGTGAGTGACAGCTGGCTCTGCCTATCTAGAGGCGGAGCCAGCTGTACCCGCCCCCTCCCCCGTTCGATCCGCCAGTCAGCGCTGGCAGATCGGCAGATCGGAGAGGGTAGCAGGGAATCCAGCCCCTCCCCTGCTCACTTCCCGATCTACTGAGCCGACCTGTGACAGTTTTATTGTCACAGGTCAGCTAGAACTATGAGGTGAGTGAAAGGCACTCACCTCATAGTTCTCCTTTAATGTGTTTTTTCTATGGAAGCCACAACGTTATTTAAACAAAACTCTATATCCAGTTTCATTGTTTAGAGTAAATTAAGCATTCCGAAATTTGGGAAATTTTCAAAGTGATATCAGTCCTGTATTGCTATATCACGTTAGAGCCACTTTATCCTGGAGCTTTTTTTTGCTACTAGGTGGGGCTGTTGCAGCTTGCAGATGTGTTGCATCGTATTCCTTCCCTGGCAGTCGAAGGTTAATCTAAAAATTAGATTTTGGGGATCCAGAGAAAATATTGTGGAATTTTTAAGAGAAGCTCATGCTTCTACATAACAAGCAAACTACATATCTGCATGTAATGAAAGTGGTACTTAATGTTCATCTCAGTCCAACAAGCTCCTGGTTTCTTACAACTGCGTGGAAACCTTTCATATTTGTGAATGCTAGTTTCTGCAAACATGTTTTTTCTTTTTGTGTGAAATTATTCTGAAAGAAATTTCTATTGATGACTAAAATTGGTGGATATTGGGTAAGTACAGCAGCTTTATTTGTTCATTTAACAGCAGATTTCCACCTCAGTATGTATGATTTTTAATTTCAGCCTCATCTCGGAATACATTTGTATGTGAAACAGAACTGGAGATTAATCATGAATGAGATTGTTTTTTCTCTCTTTTTTTATTTTTTAAGTGTACATTGTCATGTTGCAATCATGCATTGCAGGCAAACTAGATTACAATGGAATTAAAACAATGTCTCCAATGAAATATATTTATTGCAGTTTTATTAATCTTCACATGATTCTAAGGGGTTGATTCTAAAGGAGTACATGCGTTCACTTGCACTGTGCAAAGGGAATTTAGAATCTTCACTTTGTTTCACCTCATTCACTAAGATAAGTGAAATCTCGCTTGGCAAAAATGAACATTCGTTTTTAAGAGTGAACATACTATGTTTGTTTAGTAAATTAGGGTCAATGTGTATTTCTAACAATGGCCAAATACGTGGTAATTTTCTGGGAATGTCAATAATTTTAATCCTGCTTTTGCGTGGGAAAACAACTGTTTGGATCAAGGCAACCTATCTCCAACAGTTTCTGTTGTTTCATACACTGTTGTTGGTAGGTTGCATCGATATATTCAGTCACTTTTTTAAGTGACACTAAACTCAGGAGTTAAATCTTAAAAATATATGCAAGCACCTTAACTATTAACAAAAATGTATCTTATTTGTGTATCACTCGGCTGTAGTTCCTCAAATCATCTCTGAATTGGTGCTGACACTGTCCTTCCTTCTGAAAGGGGGATACTTTTGTTCCACATGGTCCCTGTGTGTTGTAAAGTAGCCACCGCTCCAAGTTCACTCCTGTGATGGACTACAATCTCATGTTTAGTTTACTCATTTGTATTGAGATTGTAGTCCATCATAGGAGTAAGGCTAGGTTCACACCTGCACTAAACCGCACGACACCCAGTGCGCGCGTCCCGGGATCACGCGGCACAATGCAGGCAGCGATTTCCGCACGGCCCCATTGATTTCAATGGGGTGACATCCGTGCGGCAATCGCAGAAAAAAGGTACATGTACCTTTTTTTGCCATACACTATGCGCGATCCGCCCGGCGCGACTGGGGTACCATTAGAAAATAATGGCACCCACAGTGCGATCGGTTCACACCTTGGCGACTCCTGACCTCTGCACGGTGAGGTGTCGCCTAGGTGTGAACCTAGCCTGAGCTTGGAGTGGTGACTACTTTACAACACACACAGAGACCATGGGGAACAAAAGTAGCCCCCTCCAGAAGGAAGGACAGTG